TATGTATCCCCAATTTCAATGACATTCGGAATGAGTAACGGAATTTGGTTCAAAACTGAATTCTCCAAATTATATTGGAATCGGTTCAGATTTGGATTTGGTCCATATATATTTTCGGCCAATTTCATATATTTGAAGCACCAAATACCCTAGGTATGTCAAAATGTCAATTAAGTATGGAATGGGTAACGGAATTCGACCTAAAAATATATTTTGGAAACATAGACCCACTACGCCTTTGCAATGGTATTAGGCTAATAGAAAAAAAAAACTACTCAACAATTTAATTAAGGTACGATTATTACGGGGAAGTATATCGGTTCAGTTGGCATCCCTCAAATTAATTGAAGTTTTTATATATTTCAAATTAATTTCGGCTAATTTAGGTAATTTGAGTTACTAGAAAGAAGAAACAGCCTTTCGAAAAATTATAGGTGTAGGCCCCCTTTTTGGAATAAACTTCATATGAAGGTATCCCCTGATTTCAGCTATTTCCGGGGTATTGGCAGAGTTTTCAATTAATTTGGCCCTTTTTTACATCTTGGCTTCTGAGGGGATAGGAAACCTCTCCGCAGATAATTTTCAATAAAGGTCAATGTAATGGAGTAGCGCCCATATAAAGGTACCTCCTGATTTTAAGTATTTCGAGGGCGTTGACCACATTTTCCAATCGATTTGGGTAAACATTTCTATTTAGGCTACTTTTGGGGTAGAGAACTATCTTACAGAAATTTCTCAACATAAAAATTAATTTTGGTAAGAGTAACAGTACCTCCCAGATCCACGGATCTATAGTGATTTTAACGGATTGGCGGACGGCTAAAAGATAGCATCTGTTTTTTTTAAAACACTTTAAATCGAATGGTACGAGAACGTGTATTGACATTTTTTCCATGGATACTTATTTGTATTAAAAACTAAAACTACGGGCCGGTATCGCGGACCGAGCCTGCAGAATAAATTTTAAGGTTGATTTTTGAGAGCTTTTGGAAAAACACGTCCAATTCAGAAAAATGCATAAAACTATTGAAATTGATTGTACGGTCCATATAATTTAAAGTTTGAAAATAATTTCATGCAAATGGTGCGCTTAGTCAAATTTTCGGCAACAAAAATAGCCTAAAGTCGTTTAAGCGCACAATATAGGCGGCCGATTGACAGGTCCCGAACGTGAACTGGCAGGTCCCTCTTGTTGAAACCAACATTTGTCAATATAAAGGCATGTTTATTGATTTGAGGTACATGCAATGGAATTGAAAATTTAAACCGACTAGGCTTTCCAAATCCTGTACAACGTAAACGTAGTTTTGTTGTAGCCCAGTGAAACCAAAATACCAAATATGAGTCAAATCAAGCGGAGAATAAACAAGTTAAAAAGCAGTGAATACCCTCCACCATTTGGAATAAATTTGGAAATTTTCAAAAAATGAAATCCTTAAAAAATGCTGTTAAAATTTTAAAAATACCGAATATAGCCGTTATATTTGGGTCTATATGACGTGGACCTACATAGGCATTGTTTGTCATAAGCCATTATCATATTTAAATTCGAAACTTGAAGTAAATGTTGAATAATGTAAAGGGAGGTGCAAAATTTTAGCCTTCTATCTCAATTCGTTGGAAAGATAGCGTGATTACAACAGACAGACAAACGGACAGACAGACGCACATCGCTAAATCGACTTAGAATTTTACGCTGATCAAGAATATATATACTTTGTTGGGTCTGACATGAGTATTTCGAAGACTTACAAATGGAATGACAAAGTTAATATACCCTCCATAGTATGGTAGAGGGTAAAAAACCAGGAACAAAATCGTTTAACTGGTTAAGGCTGCATATGTGAATGGGCCTAAAAATTAACCTTTCGGGGGGTTTGGTCTACTAATAAAGTGCTATCAACTCCTCTTCGAACTTCGCCCTCTTAAAGACAGACAATTTTCGTAATTGTTGAACAGTAAATAAACTAGCACCGATCATTCAGTAAAGTATTCAGTGCCTTATCGTGAATATTTTGAATGCACATCTATGATATTATAAAGCATACTTTATGGCGACAGGTTAAATGTAATTAAGTGTGACTTTTTCAGAGTTTACTCTAAGGGATATCAATAATCATTCTCATCATGCTACCATATTTTTGTAATGTTGTTCGAAAATAATTCCATTATAAAAATCGTTTGTTCGTGGCTAAAGAGAAATGAGTCGACGTTTTAAGGAACGTAGGGCGAACATTATTAAAATTGTTTGTTGTTGTTAAAGGAGGTAACGTATTCTTACCTTGGCGCTCAATGCAAAAAAAAGCCTAGAGTATTTCGCATTCACGTTTCGATATACCTCCTGTAATATTCTAAGTTTTCAGCGGGCAAATCAGTCAGCAGCAAATCAAATTCTTATTAGATATCGAACTCTCAGCCTTAGCTTTAAAAGCTACATAAATATTTTTTAAAAATTCCCAATTTGAATACATTTCCCTACAAAAATAGAATTCCCGGTGAAGTTTCTATCGATATAATGCCCTTGGTATAGAATTTACAAATTCCTCAAGATATTGCGATACAAATGGAACTTGTTCTTGATGCATTTCGTTATCCAAAATTTAACGTACCCGAACGACATTTTTCACCACACAAGTTAAACACATGAATGTTACCGAAATACGTCGAGCGAACGAAATTTCACAATCGAAAAATTTCACCAACCGATTAGTATCCGGAGATTTTGGTGGCCATTGTGCACTGGAAATGAAGCGAGGAACCTCATTTTGTAAACATTTTTGGGTGGCGCGTGCTGAGTCCGATGGTACTGGGTCCTGTTGGAATGTCCAAGGTCCGCGGCCAAAATGTTTGCGTGCCCAAGGCTTTAATACACCCTCCAGAATATTTTCGCGATAATATTCGGCATTTATTCTGATGCCGCGTCGATTAATACGAGCGGAGAGCGACCATCGGCTGTTATGGCGGCCCACACCATCACCATGGCCGGCGCTTGAGTTCTGGTGGCCAACCGAAGGTGCACATTTTCAGCTGACCACTTTGGCAAGTAAACACGATCAACGAATGGACAACGAAAAGGTGGTCAGGGGATTATGTCTTTGTGCATTTGTTTGTAACAGGCAAAAGGAAACGAGATAGACCCTTAGTTCCATTTGATGATCTGGATAGGATCACTTTCTGCGTTGATTTATGCATGTCAGTTCGTCTGTCCGTCCATTCGTCCGTCTGTCCATGTATTCTTGCGAACAAAATGCCGGTCGCATTTATTATCCGATTGAGATGAAATTTTCCAATCAACATTTGTTTGGCCCAAGGACGAACCCTATTGAAATTGGAGATAATCGGTAAAAATATAGATATAGCTCCCATGTATATCTTCGTCGGATTTGCCTTTTATTGTGCACCAAACGTGTAATATCAGCCCGAATAGTATGGAATTTTGCACATATAACCAAATTAGGCCTGAAAATAAGTATGCCAAATTTGATCAAAATCGGTTCAGATATAGCTATAGCTCCCATATATATTGTTCATCCGCAGCCGTAATATGCACTCTGTGACAACAATATTTGGGGAAATATATCAAATACAGCTCAGAAATACATTTGCTAAATTTTATCGAGATCGGTTCGGACTTGGATATAGCTCCCATATATAACATCGCCCGATTTACCTTTTATTGTGCACCAAACGTCTAGTATTTGCCCAAATGGGTCGGAATTTGGCACGTACGACCGAATTGAGTCTAGGTAGTATGCCAAATTTGGTGAAGATCGGTTCAGATATAGCTATAGCTCCCATATATATTGTTCATCCGATTTGTTGTATTTGTTACCCACAGCCGTATTATGCACTCCGTAACAACCATATTCAGGGAAATATATCAAATACAGCTCAGAAATATATTGCCAAATTTTATCGAATTCGGTTCAGATTTGGATATAGCTTCCATATATATCTTTATCTGATTTCAAATTAAATTTGCACCAAATGGGCAATATAAGTCCGAATTTAAAAGATACAAGTGCTTCGACATATTAAATTATTAAATTATAATTATAATCATAGGGTGTATGATTGAATTCTCCCACAAAAACTTTTAATTGTTATGTGGAGCTCAACTAAATTAGCAAAGTGGTGTAGGGTATCATAAAATCGGCCCCGCCCAACTTTAGGACTTTCTTTAGTGGTTTCTTTCTGTTGTGGTGTAAGTTCTTGCACTTTTTAGAATTTTAATGGCTTTACCCCGAGCTCATTTTTCAATATTTGCCGATATGTTCAGCTCACCAGTCATTTTTCGACCACTGCGACGCGGGTTTTGATCAAGTCGCTTCCTTACTTTTCAAATCATTTCTGCTGATGTTGCTGTTTTCTTTCGTCCACTTCCTTGACATCGGGCTACGCTACCAGTATTACGGTAACGAGCGATGGTACGAGACACGAAAGATTTATTCAGATTAAATGCTGGAGTGCTCTAACGATAGCCACTTGTGGCTTTCCAGCCAAATATAACGAAATCACACTATCACGCTTGAATTCCATCTGAAGTTGGTTGCAGTTTTTTCATCTCACCCTGTATGTGCGCTATTGGAAAACGTCGACTTAAATATTCACGTTTCTGCCACCGGAGCTAGAAGCCATTACGAACTACAAATATCAATTTTTTGACAAATCCGTGGGAAAAATCATCAAAATACCGAATATCAAGAGGTACCGTTATATATGGGGGCTACATAAAAACGTGGCTCTATACATACAGTGTTTCGTTATAACCTAGAAATGAAAATTTTTAGATAAATCCGTGAAAATGTGGCGTAAATTATCACAATGCCAAATATCGGAAGATACCGTTGTATGGCGGCTATACCAAAACGATATATCTAATTTTCAATACCAACCATCCTAGACATAATAAATTGTTGTGCCAAATTTTGAAGCTCTTCGTCAAACAATGTGGACCGTATCGTGCTTTCAACAAAATCGACTTAGAATTTTATGCTGATTATTTATTACTAAAAAAAATGAAAATGTTAATATACCCTCCTTTTCAAGTTGGAGGGTATAAAATTGTCGGGAAGTTTATTATTTATGTACGCTATGTAGAATTTTACGTAACGCTGTAGTAGACGTTTTTGTGATTATTAGTACCTCCTAAGTGGATGCAATTTCTTATTTGTTTGAAACACATAAACAAACAACACAAAATAGAAACTACAAACTTTTTTAAACAAAATTGAAAGCCTTAAAACGATTAAAATCAAAATTTAACAACAAAAGGCTAACAGTTAAAAAAGGAAACTTATAACTAAGACAAATAGTTTTCATGAAAATTGAAAATTAAAAGAAAAAATAAACTTTTTTTGAAATTAAATTGAATGAAATGAAATTAATGAAATTAAATTTGGAAACAATTTAACGAAATTTGAAAACAAAACAATTAAATTAATATCTAAAGCAATGAAATAACTCTTTTACATAAAGATCCAAAAGAAGAATTGAATTACGAGCCACACCATCGCCCATTCAATCCATCGAGGGAGGCGCAGTTTTTATGCCATCGCTAAACCAGCGTGGCTTGGTATTCCCAATCGACATTTGTTACTATAAACTCCGAACAGACAGACGGACGACGAAGCAAAATAGTTAAATTCCGCGGTTTTCCTGTGAAGAAGAGAGAGATAGAAATTAGAAGGGGTAAACAAATGAATTTAAATTTTACGCACATTTTTGGTTAATATGCAGGTTCATGACGTTGAACAGAGCTCTTTTCAAGGTTAGGTAACCAGGCTTTTAGTTCGTTTAGTTCATCGATTTTATGTGATATCGACTTCCCTCCTTTGTTTGTCCTTTCCTGAAATTGAAAGACAAAGAAACATAATTAAAATAAATTGAACGTGGAATATAATTAAAAAAGCTAAACTTTAACAATATATGCGTACTTACTTGTTGGGAAGAACCGCAAATATTAGCTGCCTTTATTGTTCCCTACTTTTTGTCATCCGCCATCGCAACCTAAAATATGAAAAGGGGAAAGGAAAAATATTAGATTTTGCATTAAATTTGGCACTGTTTCTGTTTCTGATAGTTAAAGTAAGTTTGGGATTTTGTGTAATATTTGGTGAATGTTCTTTTGTTTTCTTTCTTTGACATGTTTCTGGTTCCTTTTACCCAATTTAATTTCATTTTGCAAGTCCGATATGATTTTTTTTTGTTCAACCGAAAAAGTCTGAAAATTGCCAAGAACCAACCCCCGATCCGACGAGCCATAGCCGCGCTATACGCCAGCATACCGGCAACACCAGTTAAATGGCGCCCAACGTGGGGCAACATTTTTGTTCAACCGAAAAAGTCTAAAAGGTGGCAAGAACCAACCTCCGATCCGACGAGTCATAGCCGCGCTATACGCCAGCATACCGGCAACGACACTTAACGACAAACATAGCTATTTTCGTGGAATACGGTTGTTACATTCCTTTCGAATAATCCCAACTAGAATGCAATTTTTAAATTTAATTACACAGTTAAGTAGGCAGACAATGAGGTTATGTATAGAACGAGCATCGTGCAGATGGCCGCCGCGACTTTGATGGCACACACTTGATCTTTTAATGAAATTTTCAATGACCGTTTTACATAGCGTCCAATTTCAGAAGCGTCCAATTATCTGTTGGTCTCCTAAACACGAAATAACACGACCAGGAAACGACTGATTCAGCAATTGAATTGTCTCCCTGGCTGTATCAAATGTGGTGCCCTCTTGGTGCAAAGACATACCCTCCACATTCATTTCTTAAATTCTAGATACGAAAAAAAAACTAATTATAATTTCACGATACCAATTTCCATTTTCATTTTTGCGTTCTAGTTATGACACCCTATAAATCTGGAACTGTTATTTTCCCCCAAAATTACATCACCGAAATTAATTTCATTGGAAAGATCATAGATTTTACATTCAAAATCTTTTCCAATCATAATTAACAACCAGTCAATATGTATGTTTTTTTTTATCAATATCATTATTGAAACAATGTCATATTGACAAACAAAGTTGTTATTTTGGATTTTGAGCGGAGTCACGTAACCATACGAAATGCTGTCACAATTGGCCTGTAGTTATGCCCTCTGATGTGCTACTGGTGACTCAAATTATATTTGAAAATTTCGATAATTCTCCGATATTTAACTATATACCTCAACAAAATCAGTTTTAAAGTGACGACAATAACGGTCCTTTTCGTAATTGCATTCAAAATATTCACGGTTGAATAGAAATTTTGGTTTTGATTATGGTCCATTGCACCCTCAAAATAATATCCAATGTCAATCCAAAAATATCAAACTTCTGTCCTGTCGTTAACACCCATGCAAAATTACCCGTCGATTGGTCTATAATTGAGACCAGTAGAGCGACTCTAACATTTGTAAAAAAATGTCAGTTTATGGTCCATTTCATCCACTTAATGTTTCACGAATATCTCCTCTCCACAGTCTGACCTTAACATCAACGCAAAATTACGTGTCGATTGATCTTTTTGTGGCGACCTGTAATTGCAAATTCAATAACTAAGTATTTCGTAAATATCTCTACAAAGATAAAGATCTCTTTAACTCTATAACTACGACTGGTAGAGTGTTTACAAATGAACATGCAGAGAGATAATACCTAGGTTTCGGAAAGAGCCACCAATCCTCATCAGTTCCCTTGCTTTTTGTCTGGGAGATTCTCTCCAGACGTGTGAGTTTGTTCGACCTATTTTCCAATATATTTAATAATACGATTTTTTTTTAGCTTTAGGTCAGTTTTTTATTTTATTTCATTTTTTATTTCCGATATTTCACAATTGTATAAATTGCATCTATAAGATAATATAATATTCTTAATATTAATATCACAGCTTTGATTAAAAATAGAAACAAACACAATGTTCTTAGGCTCAAAAATCGCTTACTTGTAAACAATAACCGCTTACTTGTAAACAATAACCGTCAACTTAATAACCACGATAGGAGCAATCATCGTCGGCTGTTAATATTTCACTGATTTTGTTTTGCACGATCTCTTCTTTTGTGTAAAATGCCTAGCTGCGTTGTCTGTGTCGCTCTTAAAATTTATTCTCTCTGTTGTCTGTGTAGATTATTAATGTGTACAGGGCTGCCATTTTTACCTTTTTGACGATTCTTTACTCTTAAATTAGAAATGCCGATTTCCCTCAAAAATGACGACATTTTAATGATCGTCTCAAACTGCTTCACATTTTTATTTAAAACGTTATCAAAGTTATTTTCATGAATCTAAAATATACCGAAACAAATAAAATATACCTGTCTTTTTTTGGCGCATATTCTCAATGCTAAAAGTAAAGCCTACAAATTATTTGAAAAATAATCTACCGGAATTCATAATTTACTTAATCCAATTTTTAGAATTTCCAATCCAATTTTTAGAAGCGATTTGAGTAATTTCATCAAATAGGACGTAATAAAAGATAATATTTATTTAACTGAAACGTGCCTCATCGAAATAACGTTTTTAGACCCCAGGTCTCTTTGGACCAAATACGTTTCAGAACATTTGGAGTCGATCCAGCGATGTCCGTCTGTCTGACTGGCTGGCTGGTGCTCACGATAACTCTCAAGGCGGTATCCAATTTTGTCCACACTTGGTACATTGTAATATTATTATCAAATTTAGATCGAATTCGCAGATGGGCTATATCGGTCCACTTTTTCTGGTACCTCCCCCACAAAGGGTCAACATTTTGCATATTCATGAAGCGCATAAAACGCGAAATTAACATCCGATTCCATTCAGATTCGGTACATCTCAAAATTTCCATTAACACCTCTCTCAAAAAGGTTCAAAGATTTGAATAACCAAAACGATTATAAAATCCGAAATAAGCGTCCGGTTCTTTTCATATTTCAAACATTCCATTATTTCTCCTAACACAAGATCTGCTGTGAAGATGGAACATATCGGTCCACTCCTTCAGATACCTCCGCTACAAAGGGTAACAATTTAGAATACCCATGAAGCTCATGAAATGCGAAATTAACAACCGATTCTATTCAAACTTGGCTCATCTCAATATTTCCATCAACACAAGATATTTTATAAAGATGGTTGAGATCGGACCATTTCTTCTGGTACCTCCGCCACATAAGGTCCAAGTTTTTGAAAAACAAAACGCACAAAGAAATCGAAATAAACACATTCAACTCTCTTCAAATTTCACATCCAAATATTTTTGCTAACGCAAGATCGGTTGTGAATGATATATATCTGCATACCCCTTCTGGAACCTCACCCACAAAGGGTCATAGTTTTCAATACATTTATCTGTCATATCTCGCGAAACAAGTCAGCGATTCTTTACAACTTGCTATACCTAAATATTTCTGTCAACCAGAAAGCTGGATAAATATGGAATTTATGATTTCGCATAAAATTGGATACCAATATTTTTATCGGTATTAAATGAAGTATGAAAATGGAATACTATCTGGTACTTCACCCATGTTTTAACACTTTAGAAAATTAACACATATCTCATATCCAGTGAAGAAAGTAACCAATATAGGCCAAAATTGTCACGTCGCAATATTGAACAATATTGGTCCATTTCCTTCGGAACCTACTCCATAGAGGGAACTATATTTCTTAGCCTATATTTTTTGAAATGTATAGTTGGGCATATTTGTTTTCGGTTTTTAGATGTAATAAACACTTGTGTTTTGTAATAAATCAGAAAATGTGCTTTAATTTAATCATGTATACTTTGCAAATTTTCACAAATGCAAATGCCGATTATTCCAATTTTTTTCCGAAACATTTACGATTTTTCTTGAAATTTTGTTGGCAACCCTGAATGTGAAGCATTTCTAATGCGAGTCTTATGTGGTAATGGTTTTCCGCTTGCAGTATTTTTACTTGTTCAAGGTTTGGCTGATGGTTGTTTGATATACATGAATGATGAAAAAACTGCAACCAACTTCAGACTGCTGTCATTTATAAGCCACTCGTCCGACAGCTGTTAAAATTTTTCCAGTGACAGTTCATTATATTGTTTACAAGCATACAAAAGCATTTTGGTGAGAATTTTCCAAAAAAAAGTTATTCGTGATAGAATTCAAGCGTGATAGTGTGATTTCTTTATATTTGGCTGGAAAGCCACAAGTGGCTATCGTTAGAGCACTCCATCATTTAAATATGAATAAATCTTTTATGTCTCGTACCATCGCTCGTTACCGTGATACCGGTAGCGTAGCCCGACTTCAGGGAAATTGGCAGAAAAAAACAGCAACATTAGCAGAAATGGTTCGAAAAGTAGAGAAGCGTTTTAATCGAAACCCGAAATGGCTCGTGAGCTGAACATATATTCCATTCGGCGAATATTGAAAAATGAGCTCGGGGTAAAGCCATTGAAATTCCAAAAAGTGCAAGAACTTACACCGCAACGGAAAGAAAATAGACTCGAAAGAGCTAAAGAGTTACTTTGCTTGGCCGAATGTGGTGAACTGCCGAATTTGGTTTTCTCCGCTGAGAAAACATTCGTTGTCCAGCAGTTTGTAAACAAACAAAATGATCGTGTTTACTTGCCTAAAAGGTGAGCTGAAAATGTACACCTTCTGTTGGCCACAAGAACTCAAGCGCCAGCCATGGTGATGGTGTGGGCCGCCATAACAGCCGATCGTCGTCGGTCTCCGCTCGTATTAATCGACCTTTGCATCAGAATAAATGCCGAATATTATCGCGAAAATATTCTGGAGAGTGTATTAAAGCATTGGGCACACAAACATTTTGGCCGCAGACCTTGGACATTCCAACAGGACTCAGCACAATCGGACTCAGCACGCGCCACCCAAGAATGATTACACAATGAGGTTCCTCGCTTCATTTCCAGCGCACAATTATTGTGTCTGGAGTATTTGGAAAGCAAGGTTGGCAACAAAAAATACCCAAGTGTCGATCACCTCAAGCAAGCGCTTCTCCGGGAACGGGCTAAAATACCACAAAGCAACATTCGGGCAGCGTGTGACGTTTTCATTGGCCATTTTAAGTCCATAATTCGTACCAAAGGTGACCAATTCGAACAAATCTAAATTTATTTTAAAAATTTATGCTATTTCCGACATTTATTGCTTTCATTCAATAAAATTAAAAAAAATGTAAAAATTATGGCGTCTGACTTCGTTGCAGT